TAGATAATCCTGACACAATGGGGGAACCGTATTTTAAAGATTGGTGCTTAACTTTTACTTTGGGAACCCCTGTTCCATAAGATATACGTAAGAAATCTTTTTCCCTTATCCTCGTCACGGATAAAATAAAGTAGTATAACAGTTTATAGTACTAGAAGAATCTTCTTTATCCTACCAATATATATATATACATTTCATACGTGTATCAAATAATCATACGAAATCATCAGAAATCTAATAGCAACAAATCTGAAATTGAAATTTAATGTAAAAAGACGGAGGATACAAGACGTGAAATACAACTAATAACAAGAATATTAAAAAAAAAAAAAAAAAACAATAATAAAGAAGTCAAAGAAATAAATTGTAAATTAGTGTTAAAAAGTGTTACTAACAATAGCTACACACATATATATATCATACAACAAGCATAATAATATAATACTGTTTTAAAAGAAGGGCCAGGAAAACAGGCGACAAGATGAAACTGAAGTGTACGACGATTATGGTGGTAGTGTTAGTGATGGTGATGAAAGAATGGTGATGGTTATGATGGTAGTAGTAGTAGTAATGATGTAGAGGAGGGGGGGGAGGGTAAGAGATGTTGTAGCAGAGAGAGAGAGCTCGTTCAAGGATTTCTACTTGCTTACTTACTTGCTTTGCTTGCTTGCTGCTTGCTTGCTTTGGCCAAAGTGCAGCTGCAACTGCAACTGCAACTGCAACAGTAAGAGCAACAGCAGCGGCAGCTTCTGTCGTAACTCCAATTCTCCTTTTTCTTCTTGTCGTTTAACGTCCTCCTTCTTTCTCTTATTATCTTTTTTCTTGTTCTCTCTCTCTCTCTCTCTCTCTCTCTCTCTCTCTTCGGTATTCTGTTCCCTCCGGTCCAGCTTTCAACGTGTAACCTCCGAAGGGCGGCAAAGTTCGTTTTACGATACAAGGTAATACTGAATTTCTGCTTTCTACCTCTTCTATCTTTTTCTCCGACAAACCACCGACTGAATTTTTCCGTCTCGTTGCTCCGACAAAGTGTAAGAGAGAGAGAGAGAGAGAGAGAGAGTGGGAGAGAGAAGAACAAAAATAGTCGGATGACCTGGAATTAAGATAATTCAGATACTTTAAATGTAAGTACTCGCGTTCTACACGGTGTCCCGTTTTGCTTCTTCTTCTTCTTCTTTGGGGATAAATATTTTTTAATTCGATTATTTATGCATTTACAAATTACAGTAGAGAATTAAAGTTCGTTTTTTTTTTTGGTTTTTATTTTAATTGTAAGAGATTAATTTCATCGATTTGATATTATTATCGATTTTATTTACATCTAGGTAGTATAGTTAAAATAATTGTTATATTTTAATAATAATAATTTATGTTTTTTGTATTGCAAATGTTCGTCGAGCGAGAATTGATTTTAAAGTGTGATTCATTTTTATTTCTCGTTTGATAATAATAGATATTGCTGGGATTATTTAATTTTATCGAAATCAAATTTGTTAACAACACACGAGGTGTGGGATAATTTAAAAATAATTTTATTTATTATATATACGACAATCTCGTGCAGAATTTATTTTTCTTTTTTTTTCACCTCTGATTAGAAAATAGAAGTAGGAATAAATGAGACAACTTTTGTATAGATATATATATATATATATATATATATATATAAAAGAATGAAAAAATAAATTTATTGTATTGCAATTGTAAAGTCAAATGAAGAAAAAGGGGAATATAACATTGAAAATCAAGTATTTTAATTTATAAAACCGGTTAGATTGGGTTGTTGTTAAAAAATATTAACATCGAATCTAACAACAACCAACAACAACAGTTCACATGCGAACATATTTACATATAGTAACCGGTCAAGTGACTGCATTTTATTTTAATTTTTTTTTTTTTTTTTTTTAAGATAATATTATATTTGATTGCAACTGACTGCATATAATATAATTTATTTGTTACTGACTTAACACGCGCGTGTTACATGCCAGGAGCTGGTTTTGAACAAATGTCATTACCAGGCCATGTTTACCAATAAAACAATACGGTAGATCAAATTTCAGATACGAAATGTAAAAATAATATACAATATATATATATATTTGAACTTCTTTTTCAATCGAAAAATTATTTATTTTTATTCGTTGAAAAAAATAAAATAAATGTGTTAAAAAAATCATACAATTTTTAGAAATAACAATATGATTTTATGGTTTTATTTATCTATACACCAATCGCGTTGTTTTGTTAACAATTATTTTTCCATTCTTTATTCTTCTTCCTATCACTGGCAATCGAAAAAAAAAACAAAAAATAATCACGCGCGTGTTTTGCATTTGTTGATAAAATAAAATTAAAAAAGCAATGAAAAAAAAAAGATTTTCAAACGTATAACACGAATTAACATTTTATGATATAATTATTATTTGTACCAATCACAGAAGAGTAAAACGATTCGTATACTTATAAAACGTAATGTTTAAGAAACAATGGGACACCCAGTAGATTTACACGTACACTACTATGTACGGGAGTCAGTCCACTCCCTTCTTTCTTTTTATTTTTTTTTTTTTGTCTTCCTTCCTTCGAGATCAATCGATATACTTTTCCTTGATGAGTCATTCGATCGTGCTGCGCGTGTTCTACTACTTGAAAATAAGTTGATCTGAAATTATCTCGTTTTCTAAAGAATACCAAATCGGATAATCGAAACTTGTATATTTCATCTTTCCTTTTCTATACATTTTTTTTAATCTCCCCTTTTCATGATTATTTTCTTAATGTGTATTTAATAATTAATTAACATCTTTCCAAATGTATTTTCTTCAAATTTCTCCTTGTTCTGTCAATTATCTAATTTAATTTGATTATTCAACAAAATAATCGAACAATATTAAAATACATTTCTTTTTATCAATGAATAAATTATTATTATTATTATTATTATTATTATTTGTCTTCTTTTTCAAATAACAAAAATATAA